GTGATGTAGGTGGGCCTTGGCCACTGCCAGCCTCTACGCTTTGCAGCAAAGTGTGAAATAGGCACCTTCAAAGTCGTTTAGCCCTAGACACCGTGGACTTGCATGAAATATAGTTATGTTGACTTATTTTTAGATTATGATACTAGAATTACGCATGATTAATGCAAAATGGATTATACTTTTTATTATAGCCTTCTCAACCCTTTGATAATGTTTTCCTTATATTTTGCTGTAATTTTGCTTCAAATTATGTCTATCCATGAACAAAGGCATATCAATGATAGCACACTATTTATGATGATCGAGTCATTCCCAATGAATCAACAGGGACTTGAATGCTTTTCAATTCGAAAATGTATATTTTAAACATATGAAGTAAAACTGGGTTTCGAAGAGTTCCATAGTGATATATTGGGAAATGGCTTTCCATTTCGAAGAAAAAGTTGGTTAGAAGGAATTCATGAAAGGTCTTACCGGAAACCGAAGGAGGATTGCCGCGTAGTGAAGACTGTTGTATCTCTCTCTACTAAAAGCGAGCATTTAAAGACGAATTGAATAAAAATGTGTTTTTATTCAATTTAAATCGCTTTACAATTCGGTGGCTTCACTAAATAGGCTAGATACGCCACTTTTTAAGCTTGTGGACTTGTCATAGTGACTCGTTGTTTTTAATTACGACCCTGGGTTGATTGTTCGTGTTTTTACATGTAATGTCTTTTTAATTATTTATCTATGTATTAATTTATTTAAAAGTAATTTTCGATTCCATGACATGAAAATTGGGCCTGTTTGTTTTTCGTGCTTCTCTTGAGTGGATAGGGAACCATTTTGTGTTTCATGGTCAACTTGTTGATACAATAGGCTTGGTTGACCTATGCTCCACAGCCTTATTAGGTCTCGACAACTTTTTTAGCCTCGCCTAGGCCCCATTTTTATATCTAGCTCGGTTAGTGATATATTGAGACATGGCCTTCCATTTTGAAGAAAAAGTTGGTTAAAAGGAATTCATAAAAGGTCTTACCGGAAACCAAAGGAGGATTACCGAGTAGTGAAGTCTTCGGCCCATCGTCCTGCGACCTGGATGAACCTGTGTTAGGCCTTCGTCTGTATCGCCCCGACAGGCATCATTAGAGCAACCATACATACTTTACGAAACATCAGGAAATATATACTAAACCAAATAAAGAGATTGCCTGCTGAAACCCTAATCACTTTTTATACACCTAACCTAGGATTCTAAGAAACTGCGTTTTTCCCAACTTCACTTTTTCATTACTACTCAGCCACCTTATGACCTGTATTAAAACGTATTAAATATATCTAAGGAACTTCATTTTTTCTATTTTTTGGATCTTCATAATGTGTTAATTTTGCCTCCTATCTTTGATTTTTAAATGACTCCTTTTTATTTCTTCCATCAGAGTCTTTTAGGCGAGGACACTTCCTTCTTGGACGACGAGCTAGATTCCAGGCCCAGTTCTACATGTGTCAGCTCTTGCGCCTCAGTATTATCAACTCCCTCTTCTGCTGTTTCATCCAACCTGCCAGGCGACACGAGCACAGCCACGAAGACTGCTTTTTTAACTGACTCTTTCTTCAAAGACACCCAACTACTCGCATTGCCGGGCTCTAGCCAGACTCCAGCACTATCACAACTAACAACTGTCAGACAGTCGCCTTCTGAGCCTTCTTTCTCTCTCTTATCCGCTGGTCTGGCAGTTGAGGCATGCAATCTCTCCCTGGATCCCATTACATTTGACCAGGATTCACCCACAACCCTCTCTATTCACAAATCAGTTGATTCCAGTGCTTCTTCAGCTGATCAGATAAATATCATAAGAAATCCACTTCTTTCGAATATGACGCCAGCTGTGGCCGTCCACTTTGCAGTTGAATCCCTTAGTAATAATAAAAAAGGTGATGGGCCTGCTTGCTACCGCACTAATGTAAATGCACATTGTCTTGCATCATTGGCTAGCGGCCATAATGATGTGCGAAGACCTGTCACTATCGTCCAGGTTTTCGGTAGTGAGAAAAGTGATGGAAAGGCGGTGATGGCAGAGAGTAGAGCCATTCACGAAGATGCAGCGATCAATTGAGATGGTTTCGCACAGAACTTATTTGCTAGCACATTTGGTATTGTCCGTAATTGTGTCGACTGCAAAGCTAACATCTTCGAAAAGAAGCAAGGCAAATAGTTATCCTTCCATACGTCAAATAATGTGAATAAAGATGAGCAAAAATGACTTTAAAAATGTAGATGCAGACACCTGATCAATCAATCAATTCGGTTTTCACTAATTTATTGCCATTTGTTTCAACTCGATGCGTACTAATTTGCCTCTATAGCTGATGATTGTTTTGGCTCTCCATCACCTCGGCTGGCTTAAATATTAATTTGATTGCTTTCAGAATAGAGGTTCCTTCCTAGTATTTTTATGGACATTTACCTAATCGTCATGGTTGCTAGCTCAAAATGATAAAAGAGGATATTAAATGTGCAATAGGCACAATAGGACTGGGCCAGTCATTCACTTCATCCACATCAATTCACCACTTATTTTTCTTTTGAAGAGATAAATTTTCTCTTCCGTTGATTGGTCTTATGTTTGTTTCAGTTGACCCTTTTAAATCTTCTCAATTTTAGATTCTTGCTCCCAACGATTGTATATTTAGAGCTAGGAACGTTTAAGTAGATTGTCGAACTGAAACTGTACATAGTTATCGTATTAATAGCCAATTATATTTGCAAAAATCAACTGAATTCACCGTGCCTACTTATTTGGCTACGATCAAATGCATTATTTTCATTGAACTCTTCGCCTTAATCCATATTTTAGCTGTGCATGTACGCTAGATCTTAGTTTCTTCAGCATTTGTTCGCCTTGTCT